GGTTTAATAATATAATTTTTCTATAAAGATAATAATTAAATATTTTGTTATAACTTACTGATTATTCTATGTTAGATTATTTATATTTAAAATGATATATTTATCATGTATTTGATTATGTTTATCAATTAGTTATATGAATTCAACATATAGCTTTAAAAAGTTGTACTCATGCATCATTTATGTGTAATCTTGAATTTTAAGTAATATGCATCATTAAATAGTACTTGATGCATTAAAAATGGTTTTGAAGAGTTTTACTTAAATGCTTTATAATCTATACTATATTATAAACATTTGATAAATACCCTTAAAAACCATTTTTATGCATAAACTACTGTTTATTGATGCATATTACTTAAAATTTAAGAATACAAGTAAATTGTGCATAAGTACAACTTATTAAAGCTCTATATTTGAATTCGTGTAACTAATTGCAGATAATCATAATCAAATAAATGATAAACATCTCATTTTAAATATAAAAAGATCTAAAATATAATTAGGACAATTATTGAGTTCTAACATAATACTTAATTATTATTTTTATAAAAATATATTATTGAACCTAAATTAAGTTACTTCGTTACGTTAAATTAAATTATAATAAAAAATTTGAATAAAAAAAATAAACAAACAAAAACTTTTAAATAGTTAATTTGATACTAATACTGATATTTTTTGTAAATTTTATATGATATTTTCAAATTTATAGTTTATTCAAAAATAGAAACATTATCTTTTTTTTTTTCTCTCAAAACCACATAAAATCCTATAATCGACATGGATAAAAAATAAAACGAAACATTGAAATGGAAATGTGTCTCGATGCATTGCACAAGTATCTTTCTAGTATAACTAAAAGGGTACTCGCATAATGCAGCGCAATACAACTTGATTTTAATGTTTTGTTTTTTGTCTCTGTTGATATTATAACACGGTTTTATATGGTTTTGATAAAACGGTAATGTTTTTGTGTTTAAATAAAATATAAAATTGGATATCTCATAAAAAATTGGAAAAATATGTCGATATTAGTATCAAATTAACTTGTTTTTTTGTATAATTTATTTAATTCAATTTTTTATTATAATTTAATTTAGATTAACCACAAAGTAATTTATTTTCGGTTTAATAATATAATTTTTTATAAATATAGTAATTAAGTGTTCTGTTAAAAATCAATAATTATCCTAATTATATTTTAGATTTTTTATATTTAAAATAAGATGTTTATTTTGTATTTTATTATGTTTATCTGCAGTTAGTTACACGAATTTAAATGGAGTTTTAATAAGTTGTATTTACGCATAATTACTTATAATTTTGAGTTTTAAGTAATATGCATCAATAACAATACTTGATGCATAAAAAAATATTTTTAAGAGTTTTTTCAAATGTTTTATAGTATAGTATAGATATAGATAATATTTGAACTTACTAAAACAAATTTTAGAAAAAAATCTATTATTTATTATTTTAAATAACCATTACATATGAAACGAACAAAAATAAAAATGGTCCATCTCGCATATCCTAATTAATTGATAATGTTTCAAAAAATATATTTAATAATTAAATTAAATATTTTATTCAAATTATTTAACACATTTTTAACACATCTTATGGAGTGGGATTTGTCTTTTTTAATTTCAATTCGACTAGACTAATTATCTGTTTTATGTTCCATACAGTTATTGATAAGACTGAACAAATTGCTTGTAAAATGTTTGGTAAATTGAATATGATAAGGCAAGTTGTTTATACAGGCATTGTTTGTTTTCTTGAAAGAACTTTTTTTATTAACCTGGATATCCAATCCCGTTATGCGAGCCGACTAATCTCAGGGTGACCATCTGCTTTGCAGATAGCCCGGAGTCATCGCATTTGAACCTCCGTGGTCACAAGGGGATTTTTATTCTTTCTTAAATTTGAACATGGGACCTCCTAGTATTTTTGACCTTTGGAGCCAAGCTCAAACCAATCAGGCACCACCCTTATGGTTTTTGAAAGGACTTTTTATTCACCACTTATGTCTTATTGGATAAGATGTTAGATTTATAAGACTTTGTTTTTTTTTATGTGATAAAAGTTAAAAACTTTTTTACCGTCCTTTTATTTCTCTAAATAGTGAGTTATACTTTATAAATCCATGACCTTCTGTAAGGGTTTTAGGATTATTTTTTTTTGATTAACTTGAATATCCAACCCGTTATGCGAGCTGACTAATCTGAAGACGACCATCTGCTTTACGGATTACACGAAGTCACCGCATTTGAACCTCCGTTCCTCGTTGAATTCGAACATGGACCTCCGGACACTTTTGACCTTTGTTGCCCAAGCTCAAACCAATCGGACACTACCATTGTGATTAGATATTTTTGTGTATGAAAGTAGCATTCTTCTCTTAAACGGTGGACATAACGAATCAAAGTACATGAGATCGAACCACAAAACAACAAATTATATGTAATTTCACTTGCACATCAATTGTAAACATACATAGAGTAGTGAGCATAAGCAATACACAATGTACACAAACCGAAGGAATACATCGTTGTTACCCCAGAGAATTGTCGACCCTTTTTAGAGCTTCGAAACTGGCAGTCCTGTGTTTAACAATAATTATCAGAAGTTGCAAACCGTAACAATCACTCGAATGGCATTTTTTTCATGCATTTTTGTGTTTTAACACACGCTTTATGTTCGTTGTTACATAAATTCCTTATGTTCATCGTTTATATGCTTTTTCTCTTATGAGCAAGCATACTCGAGAAAAAGTCACGTCTCAAGAAGGAAGCTACTTACCTAGAGCTTTCGCATTGACAATGCTCGGGCTTGCTGCTGGGGGTGGTGAATTCTCATCCAAAAAAGCGTCTACTTGGTTCGGGTTTGACCAAATTGGATACCCTTTTATCTTTCCCTGTTAGAATAAGAACACAAAAAATAAAGTAGTTTAACCAAACCAAACAAACCCAATATAGTATATCCCTCTTGGAGATGGGGTCCAGTGAGGGTAAGATGTACGCATATCTAACCTCTACCCCCAAGAGCAGAGCGACTGATTCTATGAAGACCCTCTGACTTGTGAAAAGTGTGAGAGAGAGAGACAAATATGATAAAGTATTGAAAAGCTGGTTAACTAGTTTGTTCTTGTTAAAAAGATATTATAACCAACCCTCATTAAGGACAAATATGCCAAAAAGAAGCTGCATACCAGTACGTTTAGTGCGGCAAGTGTGACCATTCCTTCACGAGTCCACTGCATAAACCATAAACGGGCATGATAAAAGAAGGTACGACCTATCGCACTTAGCCTCCTCAAATTCACTAAGCTTTATATGTAATATTTCCCTTTGCAGTTCGCAAATAAAATGTTACTATGGCTAAAACACATGATCTTCGGGTCACAAATAAGTAAAACGACCCTGCTAGTTGAAAAACGCTCTTTTTTACATAAAATTTTAGCTATAAATATGAATATATAATTAACTTTTACATTCATTGCAACAAATGGTGTATCAATGAAAATAGTACATAATAAAATCGTATGTACCTTTGATGCCGAAGCAATATGAGGCACAACTATGGCGTTTTTCATGTCGGCTAGGCCGGGTTTCATGTATGGCTCATCCTCGAAGACATCAAGACCTACTCGGAACATGGGGTTTTGCTTCAAATGCTCGACAAGAGCTTCTTCATCAACCACAGGTCCTCTGCTGCAGTTTATAAGGATTGCTTCCTATACATTCAGATTGGAAAATATTGCTTTTTATGCTTACTTGAAGAGTAATAAGGGAGTTGCTTAACTCAAATGTCTAAGCGTATTGGTTAGAAATTTCCACTTGTTTAGCACATTATCTTCATCATTTATCTTTATATTTTATGGGTCCCACTTCCATTTAAGCTCGAACAATGGAAATGGGACCCGCATAATCATGAAAATGGACTATCATGCTTGTTTTCTTTTGGTCTTAGTTCTGTAGGTCTCATTCCCATTTACACTTGCAAATTATGAAAATGGGATTGTCTTCTTTTTGTGGGTACCGTCTCTATTGTGATTTGTGACTCAGAATCATGAAAATGAGGCCCACAAAATGGATTAAATGAATGACACCGTTGATTTTCCAGTGTTTTCAAGGTCTGCACATACTTGAAACGGCTCTAAAGTTTGATTATCTCCACCTAAGGCATCTGCTTGTTTCAGTTTTCATATGTAGGTTCAAACATTTCAAAATGTAGCGTACCTTCTTCATCTTCGAAAGCCGTTCTTTGTTGATGAGATGATAAGTTGTTTTGTCCAATATCGGATGCAGACTTATCTATGTGATCATCACCAAAAAGACACAAACTTCAGAAAGATAAAAACTGAAATAAAACCAATAAAATTTTGAAAAGGAAGTATAGAAATTCTTACAACATCAGCTACTTGAAGAACCTCATCCATCGATGATGCTCGTTTCCAGGTAACAGGTTGTTCCCCGCTGGCTTTCAGGAATTGACCATAAGCTGCAAATTGCTAAAATATTAGTTGATATCCAATTAAACAATAGGCCCATATTCATTTCTCCTCAAAACCAACACTTGTTCTTAGGTTATGTTCGGCAAACTAACTGATAAGGTGGTTGTTAGCTAATAAGCTAGTTGTCAATAAACTAATCATGTTTAGTTAAAATTAGCAGATAAGTAAGATGAAAATGTAAAATGACCCAAAATGACATGTTTAAATGAAAAATATAAGGGGCATAATTGGAAGAAAACCCCCCTAGACCTTATTGAAACCCTACTTGAAGTAGCAAAACGCTATTTTATGGTGATCAAACGGTTTTTTTTTTAACAAGCTAAAAAATAAGCTATCTTATGGTTGACAAACATGGGTCTAGTGAAATTGCTCGAAGAAAAGCTACATTTTGCAAGAATTAGTGATTTTGAACAAATCGTGGAAATGTAAATACAAGGGCATCTTAATTAACAAACTTTACCCAAAACTGCACATCCTTGCAGAGTGCTGAGTTTTTTTACGTTTGCAATTTCACAATAAATATTTATTTGCAACAAACATAGACGTTTCATAAAATAATCAATCAAATGAAAATGTTAAATGACCTTATGCGTAAAATTGACAAATTATGATAGAAAAATGTTGTACAAGATGGAGCAAGACATGCCTGTAACGAACTTCTCTAGACGCGTGGCTTGGTAGAGATCATAATAGATTAGATTCATCTTGAACCCTTCAATCTGATAACCAAATATTTCTCAAGCTTAGCCACATTTGAACTGCAACTGTATTTCAAACCACTGGATCTAGAGTCTTGACAGCTGTAGGATGTCAAATAACAAGAACTTACCATCATTCTAGCATACGCAGATCCAATACGACCAGCTCCAATTACACCAACGGTTTGTCCTTTAAGCAAATTCCCCACAAACCTACAAAAAAAGTCATGAGTTCAAGTCACTGCAACAGTCTCTTTGCAAAAATGCAACATGAATGCTTTCCAACCCAAGCCTCATGCCTTGCCGGATAGAATCAGTTTAAAGTGTTAAGATCAATGACCATATACACACAATGATAATTGCATAAAACAAAAATCAGAGACAACATTTACGTGGTTCAACATATTTTCTACATTTACGCGAGGTCATTATTAAGATCTTATCATATCTCGTGAATCCCTTATCTATTTTTATAATTTGAGATGTGGCACAAACCCTGCACCGGCAACCTAGACATGTGAGCTAAGCTCGCATGGCCAAGTAACATGTAGCCTGGCCACCAGGACCCACTACCTGAAGCTCACAGGCACAAGTGGCAAGATGATTTGCGACCACAAGTGGCTTGGCTGAGTCGAATGCTATGTTTGAAGATGGTTCAAATGTTACAATACAATTTCAGTGATGTGAAGATTTGAAGCCAGCGACCTACGCATGTAGTTGGGCGGCTCGCAATTTCCTGAAGGGGAATAGCAACTTGCCAACTTGGGTTCGTGATGTGAGGTCGCTGCCCCAACTTGTCGATGGGGATTTGGCCATTAAGGTGGCACATTTATGTCAAATCTCATTGGTCAGTTTGTTATCAAGTATTAACCTTTCAAAAATAACAGGAACAAAAGGTCTTGAAATTTTGTTGCTAATCTTGAATCATTTGATCTTGTAAGTTGTAAGTAACATTGTAACTTCCATTTGATCAATGAACATAAACTATCGCATCGATAGTCGAACCACGTTAAATCCTAGTGTCTCGTTTTGCATGCATTGTTACTATTGTGTACTTGTGGCTGTTCTTGCCTTTACACAATTGCTTATTGTGGATGGATTGTATCATATTGCTAGACCCAACATTTCAGCATTGTTGTAAGAGGAAGAAAGTGTAATGGATTGGTTCACATTTTGGATTCCGTGCTATTTGGGACCTTCGGTTTCAAGTGTTTGGTATATTTGTGGTGAAGATCATCTCATACACCTATCATGCATAACTGGTTTCTAATAAATTTGTAACTACTTTAAATGTCAATTATATTCATGCAATTGTATTGGGTGGACAAAGTGACAAACCAAATAAGTCCCTCTATATTCACGAGGTGAAATACGCTATACAGTAATTGCATAGACATTCGATATCGAAAATGTTTTGGAAGAAAGTAAACACGGGATCTTACAAATGAGGAAGCCACCCATCGTATAAGCCAGCCCTCATGAACCCATCAGCTTCGACGATTCTTCTTGAAGCAGCAAGAGAAAGTGATGCTGCTAACTCTGCTGTGGTCTCTGTAAGCACACCCTGCACATATTTTTCGACTTTTAATCACAATTGTTCATTTCAGAAGATAATAAGTTCAATTATGCCAAGAAATTCTTTAAAATGACATAATAATGAACATAGGAAACTTTGTGTGGAAATTCTCTATTTTAACAAAGGAAATCTATGGTTACCATCAAATTTACCACTAAGCTTACCACATTATCCATTTTTCAGGAGAAAGAGTGCAATTAGGAGGATAAAGAAAGTGTATTATTTGGTAAATGTCTAAAATGTCATTTGATTATGAGATATTGAGATTTAGATGGTAAGATGAAAATAGTGAATAGTGGTTCATCATACTGCCAACTTATGGATCATCTGATTCCCCCTTATTCATCTGTTGCATCAGTTTCAAACCTGTATATATATTTGGCTTTCGAAAAGTCAAACATAAAGCTAGTTAAGATCACAATTGATGTGTGAACATCTTCATGTTTCTAGCAATAAAATTAGTCTATTTGTAATAATTTCCTCTAAGCAAACATATCCATATAAATTTGAATATAGAAAAGTGATCCATCTGACTTTAAAAAATCAAGTTTTTAGCTTAGGAGTGAATAAACTGTCTTCATTCCATTATAATTCACTTGGATGATAACTTTTATCAAACCTTTCATATTTCAAACACTACTAAGCACTAAAGAACTTGGTAAAAGATTATAAAACTAAAATCCATAAACCCAAAAGAATGAAACTCACTGGAGTATTTCCAACTGCGACACCGTACTTGGTTGCTGCTTCAACATCAACGTTGTTGTAACCAACAGCCATGTTGCTGAAAGCTTTCCCTCCTGCCTTGCTCAATGCCGAAAACAACGTCTCTCCCCAATCTTCAGTCAACTAAAACACATGCATCAAACTAAATTAACAAATCTTGAGAAAAAGCACATATCACAATACTAAATCGCAAAATTTAGTTTCATTCATTCATATAAATCACTGTCACACCCTGTTGCGGTCAAGATGAGTACACAAGAAAAGCTTTGGTTCAACCTGTCCATTTTGTATACACTAGTTTTTACACAAAGGGATTCAGAATATAGCATGTTCATTCATGGATCGAGTTAGCAAATTTAAGTAGTTTTCCTATTCGTGCATGAACATTTGTCAAGTTTTAAACCAGATTGTGCAAATTCTTTCCTATCCAGTAAATATGTACTTAAGAAACCATATATGATCTGACTTAAATTTCAGAAAAAGAACAGACAACATTGATTTTTCTTTTTAATAAAGTTAATGATCCAATCCTCATAAAGCACACTTTGCAGAATCAAGTTGTGTTTAGAGTTTTGCAGCTAGATGATGTGGTGATTTCTATCAAATGTCCTTTAGGAGGATTGGTAGGAGGGTAGGCATCACTCTAAGGTAATCTTTGTCGGAATCCCACATCAGCCAGTCACATACCAACCTACCTCTATATATGTAGGAATCTCCGGTCTCTTTTATAAGGGCTCTTTGAAAAGGGGAAACCTATATAAACCTTTTATGTTCTCGATTTCAGCAGACCACATACACGATTTTTCCTGGGTTCTTCTTGTTCTTTATTGAACAATTCATTTGGTTTTCATCAAGATTACCGAGTTAGTAAATCGTTTTCTTTACTGCTTCGATTGTATATACAAATATATATACATATTTCGGTTTTTTTTATAGATCTATTTTCTGTTTCTATTGATTCTAAGAATCGTTGTATAACAAATGATCTGGAATCTATTCTAACATTAATCGTCCCGGATTAACTGTTTGACTTTGTTTCACTTTGATTATTGATGCAAGTATAACAAACTTCACACATGAAGATTAAAAGTTCAAGTTCACACATGAACATGGTTCAGATTTAGTTTGGCTTGGATTTAGGCCGGTTCAACTGTTCCTTATCTCCGTATTAATACATACAGACACAAAAGTCGAGAAAGCAATAAGTTTCAGATTAATACAAACTCGGAAGAATCCAAAATTGCAATATACGAGCAAGGGATGTTGGAGACAGCCACATCAAAAAGGCCCCAAATGCATAGCTCCAATTAATTATAAATACAAACAGAAAGCAAATGAATCTTCAATATGTTACCTGACCGATAACTCCATCGCACTTATTTCCAATCAAAGCAATGATGTCTTCAACAGACAATATCGTTTTCTTCTCTGTGCATATCTGAAACACAAAACATACAAGTTTCCACACGAGCCAATCTCAATATACAAAATCCACAATGAAATTGATCAAATTTGTGAAGGTTAGTTAAACTACTTACTTCAACACGACAATCTTGTTGAACCAACAGATTAATCCAGCGTGTACCCGGCATGGATTTTGTGCTGACAACTCTGTATTTCCCACTAGGGTTCCATACTTCAATGGAAACTGGTTTCGCCATTTCTGAAAGCTTGAAAATGGAGAAGGAATTGGTTGTGATTTAGCGGGTGAAATGAGTGTGAGCTTGATTACACCGAAGCTTTTTCAAATTGCTGGTTGGGTTGATTGGCTGTGGGAAGGACTACCGTATCCAGTGGAGGGACGCACTTGATCTCAGATATGGCGTTGACTTCTGAGTATTGACTGATGGACAAGGTGCGTGTAGGGTAGATGAGTGATGGTGCATGTTATTACGATGGGGTGATGAGGTAGTTGATTGGTATTGAGTTTTTGAAAATTCCGACCTCTCGTTTGCATTTGGAGAAATGAGGATATGGCTTTTACCACAGAATGCCACGTAATGGGCCCTTTATCCATTCTTTTGATTTTACTAAAATACCCTTTGCATTTTATTTTTTAGAGTATACATTATTTTTTAATAGGAAAAATTGCATCAAAATAGAACCAACTTTCACCTAATTCTTATATTGGGGAACCAACTTTCAAAATCGTTATTTTGGGGAACCAACTTTCACTTGATTTTTATTTTGGGGAACCAATTTTCACCTGATTCTTATTTTGGGAAACCAACTTTCAAAATTGTCATTTTGGGGAACCAACTTGGACCTGATTCCTATTTTAGGGAACCAACTTTCAAAATCGTCATTTTGGGGAACCAATTTGCATCTGATTCTTATTTTGGGAAACCAACTTGCAAAATAATTATAGAAAAATAACTAAAATTTATTTYTTTTCAAAAATTAATGCAATAAAATCTATTTTTCATTTCAAATCTCGTTTTTTTAAATTCAGATATCAAATTGAAGATTTTTCGAAAAAAATCCAAATTACCACGATAAAAATTGTTTTTTACTAATGCAATAAA